GGCACTCTACTTCCTTGTCCGGGTTCCAGAATGCATTGCAATGTCCATCATGAACTCAGACAATGTTCATGACATACATTGTTATCTGTAATCAGAGGACTTGCATGCCCCCAAAGATATATAAACTTTGGTTAGACATAAAACCTCATGAGAGTTCTCTCCTGCCCTCTCATCCTCCACTTCCACGTGGACCACCAAGAGGAGCTAAGGTGAACATGCTACCATGAAACCTGTCTGACTTCTTTGTGTTTCTCTCCCTGTCCCATCTCTCCCTATTCTCTATGACTTTACTATAATCTTTATATATCTTTACCATACAATTGGCCCACCAAACCCATGACTAGTTGTGGGGCTGACTACCTCCACAAGGAGGGAATAGTATTATAGTTTAAACTGTGAACAGCTGGCTTGCAGAAGGCTATGAATGACAGTGGAAGTTCAGAATCCATTTGCAGGTCCACACATGAATCCTCTTTGACCATAATCCTGGGATGTGAATAGCTTTAATCTCAAACAGAGAGCATTGTGAGGTCAATTAAGGCTCATGTACTGAGGTTAAAATGTCATGTGTTATCATTTTGATCTCTCCTTTGACTCATTTTAAATTTGTTTCCGTTTTTAATATTTTCTGCATTTTTTCTAGTTGAAGTTGCTCCTTGTTTTGTTTTGATATTGTTGCTAGGTTTTATGCTTGCTTCTTGTTTGTGTTTTGTATGATTTTCTGCTTATAGAATTCAGAATGGGTGAATCTATAGAGGCACAATGAATACAAAGAAGGAGAAAATGTTCTAAAATTGATTGTGGTAAAGACTGTAAAACTTTTCTTGATATGATCGAACTATTGACTTTTATGACATGCAACTGTATTGCCAATAAAAAACGTTTTAAAACATCTATAGAGGCAGCAACTGGATTAATAATTACCTAGGCTTATGGCAGAGGAGATTGGTACAATGAGTATTGAGTTAGTTAATTGTGCCAGCCTGGCCAATAATCACATGTGGTGCTGGTTGAAAGGTGGAGGGATAAATGGGTGGTGAGCCTCGGCCTTTCTAGTTTTCGGGTCTCTTGTTTTGTGATGGTTGCACCGGGTGCAGCTGCCCTAGCAGTTCCCTGCTTCAGCTTGCAAGATTGACTTCCTACAAGACATCCCCAAGGAGAAGCTGCATGGATCTATCCTGATGCAGCCCTGGGTGCTGGAGCAGCCGTGTGGAGACCCGTGCCAGTGCTGAGATGCTTACACGTTCACTGACTCAGCTTTCCTCCTGCAGTCGGCATTATTGCCTCTGTTTTGTGAGGTGAAGGACTTTGTGGACTGGTGTTGGGTATGGGTTAATGTTGGACTTGTGGGCTTGGGCAGCATTGGGTTGGGGTGTTTTCGTGATGCACATTTTCTTTGCATAAAACTCTCTCTTATCTATGAGTTGCTGTGCATTTGTTTCTCCAAAGTACCCAGACTAATACAAGTATGAAAAGGAAAATGTTCTAAAATGGATTATGGTGATGATTCCACAACACTTACCAATGTAATTGAATGATATATGAATTATATGACAGTAATTTTTAGATGATTTGTACTACTTTTATATTTAATTAAAAAGATCATTTTATTGGAGGCTCATACAACTCTTTTTAAAAAAATCATTTTATTAGGGACTCACACAACTCATCACAATCCATACATACATCTATTGCATGTTAACCACATTTGTACATTTGTTGCCATCATCATTCTCAAAACATTTGCTTTCCACATGAACCCTAGGTATCAGCTCCTCATTTTCCCCCTCCCTCCCCATTCCTCCGTCCCTCATGAACCCTTCATAATTTATAAATTATTATTATTTTGTCATATCTTCCACTGTCCGGTGTCTCCATTTGCCCACTTTCCTGTTGTCCGTCCCCAAGGGCTTTATTTATATCTTTATAATCGGTTCCCCCTTTCTACCCCACCTTCCCTCCACACTCCAGTATTGCCACTCTCACCACTGGTCCTGAAGGGATCATCTGTTCATGAATCCCTGTGTTTCCGGTTCCTATCTGTACCAGTGTACATCCTGTGGTCTAGCCAGATTTGTAAGGTAGAATTGGGATCATGATAGTTGGGCAGGGGGCGAGGGGGAGGAGCATTTAAGAACTAGAGGAAAGTTATATGTCTCATCGTTGCTACACTGCACCCTTACTGGCTGGTCTCTTCCCTGCCACCCTTCTGTAAGTGGATGTCCAGTTGCCTACAGATGGGCTTTGGGTCCCCAATCTTCACTCCCCCTCATTTACAATGATAAGGATTTTGTTCTTTGATGCCTGATACCTGATCCCTTCGGCACCTCGTGATCACACAAGCTGGTGTGCTTCTTCCATGTGGGCTTTGTTGCTTCTGAGCTAGATGGCTGCTTGGTTACCTTCAAGCCTTTAAGACCCCAGACACTATATCTTTTGATAGCCTGGCGACATCCGCTTTCTTCACCACATTTGCTTATGCACCTGCTTTGTCTTCAGCGGTCAGTGGGCACACCATAATTTTTTTAAAGAAGATGTGTTAAGTTTGAGGACATGGGGAATTAAATACTTTGTACATTAGCTTCAGGTCTTGGAAGTGTCCAGCATTTCTATTTCCAGATATTCTTTGCCTAAAGTTGGAAAGTTTCACCCATGTAGTTTAATATTCAGGAAAAATTTCAATGAGGTCATTATGAAGCTATTTGGAATTCTTTCTATACTGTTTCTTCTACAAAATTATAGCCTATTGTGAGCTGTGATCTCTACTTCCTCTAGCAGGAGGAATTCTGGGTTTCTCCTCCAGCACTGTAGTCTAAACGATTCTCCAAGCAGAGAAAGTGTGCACCATAGAAATCGGCTTATTTTATCTTTTTCTCTTGAGTGCTATATGCTTGTCTTGCCATGAAAAAAGATTATTCCCTCATATTTCAACTGCTTTCCTACTTCTTTAAATGAGCGGAATGGGACAGTAGGTCAAGCTGCAGTTAATCTCTATTTGAACTCAATTTTAATATCATTAATATAAATGAAACATCATCTTTGATCAGATGGAATATTTCAGTGTTGTTCTGGTGCATTTTAATTTAAGAGCTAACTCGGTGCCTCTACTTTCTTGAGTATATCAACATTTTTATCTCTTTTACTTTTCTTTGACTATTTAATCTTTAAAGATTAAGTCAAGAGTTTATCTTTAAAACAGTTTTATTGGAACATAATAAGACACAAATCGTGCAATTCAATAATTCAATCATATCAAAAAGAGTTGTACAATCATCACCACATTCAATTTTAACACATTTTCTTCTTTCTTGCTCCCCATTTCGACCCTACGTCCCCTGTCCAGGCTCCCCCCCCAAATTAATCCAGTTGTTGCCTGTATAGATACAAAATGCAAGAGTTTTATTATAAAAATACCAACTCACTGCTGTCAAGTCACTGCTCACTCATAGCGACCCCCGGTGGGGTGGCTACAAGACTGTTCACAGAAGTAGAAAGCCCAGCCTTTCTCCCATGGAGATGCTGGTGGTTTTGAACTGCTGACCATGCAGATGGCAGCCCAATACGACCCCACCAGGGCTCCTCTTTTATTATAAAAGATTTCCCTTTTCTCTTCCATTAACAGAACCTATTATGATGGTTTAATAAGAGAGGAAAGAGGGATGTGACACAACATTGTGGGAATTACAATCAATCAAATAGGTGGGGAGAGTGTGTGGGAATGATTGAAGGAAAAACCGGTCAGTTCTGTAAACCTTCATCCCATTCGCAATAGAGCTTAAAAATAAGTAAATAAATAAAAAGGCCCTGGTAATGCAGTGATCAAGCACTTGGCAGCTAACTGAAAGGTCAGCAGTTTGAACTCACCAACGGAAGCCAGAATATGGGCCGTCTGTTTCCGTGAAGATTACAGCATAGGTGTCCCTATGGGCTATTTCTGTTCTGTCCTATAAGGTCTCTGTGAGTTGGAACTAATTCGCTTGTAATGGGTT